CACCGCCAGATGGAGGCGGTACATCGGATGGCGTATTATTAAGAGCCTTCGGATTATTATCCCGTCGGGGCTTTGCCATAATTTTCGTTCAGGAAACGGTGTATGACACAACGGAAAGTGTGATTTCTGATAAACGGTGGGGTTTCGAAGAAAGGAAGTGCCTTCTTAGAAGGTCACAAAATGCTTGCAAATGATCGAAAGTTAGATCAAGTTAAACCCTTCCCCTATTTATAGGGTTGGGTAGCGTTGAAATCGAAGAGGCGGAATTCAAACGTGCGCGGGAAACCGAGCATCAGAACACCTTTTATGCTTCCTCGGGAAGATGCGTAATGATGACGCCTGCGTGTGATGACGTCACTTTGAGAAAGAAACTGCGCGTCAGCATTTCAATAAACTCAAATGTTCACTCATTCACTCTCATTCATGCAGCCGTCTTCAAGCATGGTCAAATTCTCCCAGAACAAGGTTCACGGTTCCGTCCATCGGGGACGCACCTCGATGCGTCGCTGACGAACGGAGGGACTAACTGTATAGGGTCAAATTCTGCCCATTACGTCTCCACGTTGGTAGGAACGACCAACGAATATATGCTAACCGAAGTGAGGGCACGACCTAAGAATGTTGACGTGAAGTGTATCATCGGTTCCGTCGTCTCTCTCGAAGGAACGCGACCAATCTCTGTATTATTTTATTATTTTAAGAAGGGTCTCCTATTATATAAAGGAGGATCCCGATGTTGTAAAGGGGGAGGATTTTTATTGAACAAGCTCTCTCTCTCTCTCTACCTCTCTCTCTCCCTCTCTTTCTCTTGAATATCCAATTTATTGGAAGCTATAACAAACATAATACACATATCTAGCTCTTATTATCTTCGATTACGATTGATCCTTAATTCATTTTGATTGTTCTCACTTAAAAAGTATCTGATAACTTTTGAGTCAAACATTTGCTAGTATAAGTAGGAGGAATGTCTAGTGAAGAGACACTGCGGGTGTACTTCAATACCATCCACATCCACATATATATCCAAGAGATGTAAATTGAAGGGAAAAAGAATCTGGCGGAGAGAGGAGGGGAGAGCAAACAGTTTAAAAGTAAAAACATTGTAATTGAATTCTTTAATTGAAGGTGCTAATCATGGTTTGGGTATATAGAGAGAGGAGCACAGAATAGGGAAAGAGGAGAAGATACAATAAAAAGGAATCCCTCATTTAAGGCACTAATAATAGCTTGTATATATTTTGTATGCAATCCTTGTTTAGGGCGGTATTAAGATAATTTGGTAAATAAGCTTCAAATATTGTATAGGAACCGAAAAATTCCCTTGGAAAATAGTCACTATTTTAGTTGAAACATTGAAAGTTCCAGCATAATATGCTGGATTATGGAGCTCTTGTGTATAAACTTCCAGCATCTTAAGTTGGACCTCCAGCACATTATGCTGGAATCTCATATGTAAACAAATCGAATTCTAGCATATTACATAAAATAAAGTGGCTAAATTTTGATTACTTTTGAAACTGTGGTTATTTTTCAATTACCAGTTGTAAATCAGGCTATTTCTGTTTTTTTTTTCCTTTTTATTTCCTTAAACTATTACCCTTTTACAGCTTGTTTGGATGGTTGTTACTCATTGTATCGTAATGTATTGTATTGTTATCCCAAAATAATATTTGTTTTGATTGCTTAGTTAAAATTGGTTGTATTGTATTGTTAAATTCATTGTTCTGGAATAATGAAAAGTCCCATTTTTGAAACAACCGATTTGGTGTGATGGGATTGTTTCCTATTTTTCTTTCCAATTATGCCCTAGCTTATTATTTTATAATTCTATTTTACCCTCCCCTTTTTTTTAAAAAAAAAAAAATTAACTCCAACATATAACCTACGTCTTCGTCTATTTTTTCCTACTGTCGCTTCTAACTCCAACGTCAGGTATAGGTTTTTCCTTCCTTTTGTTTCATTCTTTCTTCTATTTTAATTTTTAATTCCAATTTTAGTTACTTTATCTCCAATTAGCCGTATAATATTGGCTGTTTTCAAGTGTGCAAAGTATTATTATTTATCTTAAATTATTTTATAATGAGTAATTTTTGATAATTAAATATTTAAAACAATCAAGGGTATGTTAGTAAAATTATCGATTACAGTACAGTACGATACAGTCAAACCAAACAGAAAAATGTTATTTAACAACAGCAAAGAATACGATGTATCTAGACATTGTATACATAAAATGATACAATACAATGCAGTACAATACGATACAATATAAAACGATGGATAACAATGATCCAAACATAGTGTTAATTAATCATATCTCATTTTATGGTCTTTTTTTTCGGTTTTAATGGACACAATCGATTTTAAATTTACAAGAAAATTAGCAGAAACAAATGTTCATGGTTAAGTTTCAAATTGAAACGTTATGATTAATAAATGTTGTATTCAATTTTATTTGTTGTTTACTTTAGCTAGGCATAATTGACTTAAATGTTGCAATAAACTTGGTCCAACGGCCATTGCCATCTAAATACCAATTCTGTATGGTGTCTGATTCCATAACTATTTCCTACTTTAAAATCTGAAGCATTAAGCTAATGACTCCCATGGTCTCTTGTTATATTTTACGAATTTTAGTACATGATTATATTTATATCAAGTTTTTGATTGATGTGATTATATTTTCGGTTAATTTGGAAGTAGAACTTACTAAGGAAAAATAAAAGGAAAACTGAAAAGGCAAAATCAGCGTAAATAGTTTGTTTAATTCCCACAAAAAACGCAACGTTAATAATTTGGTTTCTTTTCACTTAATATTAAAACCCTAATCCTAGAAAAACAATTCCACATCAAAAGCAGCTCAAACCCAAAACCTTATAGCCATTAGAATGCCTAATAACTTTCCCCGTGATATCACCATTGATATATTGATAAAACTTGCTGTGAGTTCTATTCTAAGGATCAAATGCGTTTGTAAATCATGGCGTTCTCTAATTGAAGATGGTCAATTCATCAAACAACATTATGATCGTTACAAAAATGATACAAATTGCCATAAAATCTTTTTGGCTTGCATAAAGTACCAATACCATTGCCAACAGTACTACTCGATAGACGCACCGTTTGAACATGATTCCAGTGTTTCTCTTCTTGAACATCCTCCAAAAATCAACCATAAATTGACTAGAGAACTTGTGGTCAGTTGTTGCAAATATGGTTTATTTCTTCTAGCTTTCTCTTATGATAAAATTATTCTTTGGAACCCGACGATCAGAGAATCAAGAATAATCCCTCGCGCGATCCAAGTTGAGAATGAGCAGTCATATACTTCTTCTTTAGAGGATGACAAAATAGTTTATGGTTTAGGTTATGTTTCTACTTTGGAAGATTACAAAATAGTTAGAATAGGGCCTAAAGTTCCTGAAGATGGTCATTATAATATTCAAATATTTTCGACGAAAAATGACTCGTGGAAATTAATGGACAAGTTGCCTCGTGACACTTACTCGGATAGAGCTATGGTTGTAGCTGATGGAATTGTTTACATGATTAGCCATAAAAAGGGGAAGAAATTTATTCTAAGTCTATGTGTGAAAAATGAAAAATTTGAGGAAATATTATGTCCGGACGGGGATTTAAGGATTGTCAGTGAAACTCTATTTACTATAGGAGAATGTCTATTTTTAGCAAAGTTTTTTAGCCCTGTTAATAAGATGGTTGATTTTGAAGTTTGGTGTATGAAAAAGAATGGAATGAGTTGTAGTTGGAATATAATGTTGACAATTCCAATTCCATGTATTTGGAATGACAGATTTTGGATGCAGCCTGTGGGATTTATTAGGGATGGAGATATGTTATTTCTGAGAGATAAAACTGAATTCGTAATATATGATTCGAAACGACGAAACTTTCAAAAGGTTGAAGTTGCTGAGCTTGAAGAATCACTTTGCCTCAATTGGGCTGTAACATATGTGGAGACTTTAATTTCTCCTAATGCTATATAGGATTACACTGAGTTTGTAAATCTATTTTCTTTTTTTTCATCCAAGAAAAGTTTATATTATGATTCTTTTAATTCATTGGAGTAATTACAAGCTCTATACATTGTGTAATTTTTCCTGATTTGCATTGGCTGGTGTAAAACACATTCTTGTACCATCTTAACCTATTAAATTTCCATGGAAAATGGGGTACAACTGAAAGAAAAAGAAGCCTTTTTTTTTTTTAAATCTCGTTGCTTCTTTATTTTTTTTTTTCTTTTGACAGGGATAATTCTTATACCTCTATCTTATGTAGGGATCAATTATTTGAAAAGTAATTGAATGCACTATCAGCATTTTGTGTGTTCTTTCTATGCAGGGTATAGTAATGCAGTCAACAGACAAGTTAGAATTTGTGAATTTTTTCAATGATACATATGTTGTATACTATTGTAAGTGTTCTATTTTTGTAACATAGCTGTTAAACTGTAGATTAATATCCTTTTAGGGTATGATAACTCTTGGATGAGAAATTAGTTGAGTACTATTCATAATAATCTTGTTAGCTTAATGGATATCGAGTATTGAATTATTAAGCATGACTTGTAGAAGAATTGATGTTTCGGATGGAAAGAGGACTTGTAGGCACTTTATGAATATGAATTGATTTGAGTTAGATTTGCTCATCTCCACCTGTGGATATAAGTTAATTGACCGAACCATGTTAAATATTTGTCTCTTTTGATATATATATTTCTTCTTGTTGTTTGATTTATCGTAATTCAAGGTTTGCTTTGATAGCTTCCCTCATGACACCTGATTATTTCGATCGAGTACTAGTCCTGGTGTGTCCACAGCAATGGCATGAAACTGCTCCAAAGTCTCATACTCAACATTGCTACAAAACTATCTCTTTGCATTAATAAGTACAAAACTATCTCAGTGATCATTCCAGTGTGAGACAGTATTTCAAATTGATGGATTTTGATGAAAAACAGTAACGGTATAAGCCAAGACTTTGAATGGGAACACGTTAAAATTAATCACACGAGAAGCAGAAAATTTAAAGGCGAATCACATTAAAATTACAGTCAAGCAGAGCATATCTAAGATACTAATAGTACAGTACAGCCAGCTGCTGTACATCTTTTTACACAGATAAGCAGTTCAGCTAAAAAACCAAAGGAAAAGGGAAAAAAAAGAGAGATGGCGACTTGACTTAAACCAAAAGACTCGTACAATGCAGAAGGGGGCTAAACACGACCATCCCACAGGGACTCATTGCGAACCTTGCTAGACCTTAAAAGGCGCTCCACATCTGTTGGAGGGTTCAAACCAAGTTTCTTAGCACGCTCCCACCTGTCCAGTCTGCTCATTCCAAGGCATGGTCCATAAGTCATATTCATGTCAAATTGCCTCAATGCTTCCTCGTTCAGATCATAATCATCTGCAGATTTTGTAATTGCAAGGCACAAAAGCAACCTCTTCAGATCACAAAACATATTAGGGAAAAAGGATAGGGAGAGAGCAATAACTTCAGAATTTGAAAATTCCCCACTACTTTTTTGTAAGTTCAATACGAAAAGAACAGAATGATTCCGCATAGTGTCTGTAAACTGTACATCCCTTATTTTGCTCTCAAAGCAGAAACATATCTGAGTGGTCATTCCCCTTGCATCATTATATGAAAACCTTCAATCACAATACCTGCTAAATTTTTCTGAGGGAAGTAACTAATGGTGATAGACTGATCGCTCCAGTTTATACTCTACTATAATAGTGTATCATGCCTGGTAGGGAGATGTTTCCATTCTTACCAGGTTTATCATTACGCAACTGTTCTGGCACATCGTTTTTTAATTTAAGTACTGGCAAATTCCTTTCTTGTTAAACAATATAGACACAGTCAGCTATGTTTTTAATACATCTATAGTAATACTTAATGGTTAAAAACGAGAAAATAACAACTTTGACCTCTCGAATCCCCTTCCACCCCCCAAAAAGAATATAGCCCATTGTCCTATAGGATATCATTTTGCCCAAAAAATCTTGACAAATTAGTAGTCTTGAACCATAGAATTCATATATGACGTTGCTAATTGATTAAAGATATGAACCTCTCTTGTTAGTATGACAAGGCCATAGGCATAAGGACTACGAAAAGCGTTCAACAAGAGAGATGCCAGTTTTTGGACGAGTTCAATTTCATTGAATCCACAAAAATATAGACATGTGTTTTTCTACTAAAAATTTTGTGTATGCACACTCTTTAAACATTTTCAATTATTCTTCAGGAATATAGCTTATAGTTAATAAGTGCTATTAATCAGATCTTGGAAAAGTTATCTTATTACCTTGGAGTAAATCTCCTGTATAACCCCTTTTACCGAGTGACTACTGTACAAAAATCTTCTTCTTTTTATATTTTTTATAAGAGTGGTGTATGTCCAGATTACACGTATCTTGACTATACCATTGTACATACTGAATGACTAATATACAAAAAGCTATTGAGTAGTCCTAGTCTCTAGTCAGTCAATACAGATACTAGAAGAGCTGCACCAGTAACCGACATAATAGTAGGTTAGAAACTTAGACCATTCACAATCTCACTTGAACCTTCACTTAAAGAGATTCTCTCACTCAAATTAGTAAAAAGTACAGTAAAGCAAAAGTATCAACTTCCCAAAAATTTTAATAATATTTTCTTCATTTACTTTTTTCTTCCAAAATTATACCGAAGTGAAGAATGTTTTCCCTATTTCCTTACTATAATAAGTCAAAAGTGGAAAGTTGTAAATGTGTCCCTTTTTCAATAAAACAACACAGCGAGTACATATATACTTCTTAGTTTGTCGTCATTTTAGTCTCTTAATTTAGCTCCATTGAAAAAGGATTTAATTTTATCGAATGCGTTTGTTTGGGGTTTGCAAATAAAGGTTTATAGAATACCTAGTTGTTGGAAACCCTAATTTGTATCAACCCAAAACAAAGAGTTTAAAGAATTAAGGGGGTTCAATTGACTCCCCTTCATTGGAAATTTCTACTGCCTAAGGGAAGTTATCTTCGCAGTAACGAAGGTAGTTCAAAATTTGTTTTAGATCGCAGGTTTAAAATGTTGAATCACCTTGTTAAAATTAAACAAATTTCCGGCTCCGCCACTAAAAGGGTGACAAAACTCAAAGCACAAGCATGTGTACAAAAAAAACCTAATTTAAACCAAAAATTAACAAAAATATGGAAACAAACCCTAAATTCAAAATTAAAAATACCCAATAGGCAACAGAAGTTAAAATTTATAAGAGGTGCAAGAAATTGGAAATATTGACCTTTTAAATCAAGAGAGCCATGAGAAATGAGAGCAGGGGGCTGAGTAACATCAGAGCCAATAGCTGCAGCGTTCTTTGGGGTGGTGGATTTCTTCGTAAATGATGATTTAGAATTGGATGGTTTGGTGATGCCACCGCCTTTCTTCTTTTGCTTGTAGAAACCTTTCATGTCTGATTTTGTTGCCATTGTTCTTTCCTCTGTTTGAAACTTTCAAATTTTGAATTTTGAATTTGGTTCTGTTCTTATGGAGTACTCAAAGTTGGAGAAGAAGATTCAGTTTTGAGTGTTTTGAATTCATTTATATGTTGGGTTTTTTGGGCCAAGCAGTGACTTTCATTAGATTTGGACTTTTGGGTCTCTCTTGTGGGCTGTACTTCCTGCCTCTTCTTTTGGGGCATTTGCACATCTAGAAGAATTTAGGGGATTAACTTAAAGGGAAACTAGCAGCTATGTCCATTTATAAGTAGCTCATTACAAAAATTGGCCAATTCATAAAATATTAATAATATTAGCTAAATATTACTAATATTAGCTAATTAGCTATTTGTAGCAAAAAAAATGACAAATTTTTGCTTTCTTTTAAGTGAGTGATATTAGAATAGATTGGGTACATCTTAAGAAGCTTGAATCTCAGTTTAGGGATGATTTGGTGAAGTTTTGAGGTGGTTTGAATTAAAAATTCGAAGTAAAAACTGAACATGAAAAAAATGATCTGTGTATCATTTGTGTATCACATATGTGTTATATTTGTATCAATTGTATATCCATGTATACCTGTGTGTGAGATACACGCGTGATAGATGTTTGATACATGTGTCGCAGAAATATTTTTTGAACTCAATTTAATTACGAATTTTGGTACAAAACCAGTCGAAATCGCCTCCAATCTTCCTCAAATTTTGTATATTGACTTATCTATATGTTTTCAATGAACTTCAACTATACCCATTGAAAAAGTTCTTGTTTTGCTTAGATTTTTGGAATATTGTATGTTTTTTTCTTTTTATATTTCATCACCTTATTTGCTATCTCATCCATGAAATTTCCTTTCCGTCCTGCATCTAATGTTGCTATTCACGTTTAAAAATATGGAAGGTGATTTTTGCATGTAATTATTTGAGAGAAAGAACCTTATTTATTTGATTTTTCAATTTTTATATGTGTTTGGCTAATTTTGGTAAGTCTATGACTAATGGCTAAAGATTGGTAAGTTAAAACTTATTTGAGACATTTTTGTAAGTTTCCCTAACTTAAATAGCCACCCACCTAATCTCTTAAAGTAAAATTAGCCAATAAATATATAATATATATAATTTATGTATAATATAGGCATATTTATATATAATCAATGTACAATCTATATATATCGGCTAGAAAAAATAAACATTGAATTTGGGCGGCTATTTGCGTAACAATCCCTTGCATATATACCCGGTTTTGGGGTCACCACTGATGTTATACCCACTTTGTACAAAAATTTACAAGTCTACCCACTTTAGGATCAACTGCAGACTTATCGAGTATGAAGTTTAAGGAAAAAAAAAAGTTTAGCCTGAAATGTAATGCACTTAATGCCAAATAGGTCGGAAGTGCAACAAATATTTTCATGCCCATAAGGCCAAATAGGTCTGAAGTGAAAAAATTACACTTAAGTGCAACCAATATTCTCATGCACTTATAGCCAATAAGGTCTGAAGTGCTAACTGCCCAAAAACAAAAACTTGTATTTCAAATTTTAACAATCCTACACATGATTTAACACTTAAATCTACTCCAAATAAGCTCAAATTTGAAACATAACCTCCAAATATCATAAAGAACAAATCCCATATATCATTTTGTCAAAACTACAACAAATCTAATAAGTCTATTCGTAGGTAAACAAGAACATTTTGCTTAATTTGTATTGAAGGAAAAGAGAATGTGGTTGTTGATGCACTTTCAAGAAGGTATGTCTTGGTTTCTTCTCTTACTTCTGAATTGATGGGTTTTGATCAAATCAAGGGACTTTATTCTAATGATTCTGATTTTGGCAAGGCTTTTGCAGAATGTAAGTTGGGTCGTTATGAGAGGTTCAATCTTCAAGATGGGTTCCTTTTTAAGGAAAATAAATTGTGTATTCCTAATTGCTTTTTGCGTGAATTGTTTGTTAGGGAAGCACATTGTGGTGGACTCATGGAACAATTTGGAGTGCCCAAAACTTTGGATATACTTGCTGAACATTATTTTTGGCCTGGCATGCGAAAGGATGTTGAAAAAGTGTGCTCTCAGTGTCTTGAATGTAAACAAGTCAAATCAAAAGTGTTACCACATGGTCTTTATACTCCTTTATGTGTCCCTACTTCTCCTTGGATTGATATTTCTATGAATTTTGTGTTAGGACTTCCTAGAACTAAGTATGGTAAGGATAGTACATTTGTGGTGGTAGATAGATTTTCCAAAATGCCTTGTTTTATTCCATGCTTGAAGATTAATGATGCATTACATGTGGCTGATTTATTTGTGAAGGAAGTAGTTAAATTACATGGCATACCTAAAACTATCGTTAGTGATAGGGATTCTAAATTTTTAAGTCATTTTTGGAGAGTTCTTTGGGCGAAGTTGGGAACTAAATTGCTATTTTCTACATCTTGTCACCCATAAACTGATGGGAAAACTGAAGTAGTTAATAGGGCCTTAGGGAATATGTTGACAGATGTTTTAAAAGGAAAATTAACTTCTTGGGAAGAACATTTTCCCATGGTACAGTTTGCCTATAATAGAACTATCCACTCTTCTACTGGTAAGTCTCCTTTCGAAGTTGTTTATGGATTTAATCCCCTCACTCCCCTTGATTTGTTGCCTTTGCCTAGTAATGACATCGTTAATCTTGATGGTAGGAATAAGGCTGAAATGATGAAGAATATTCATGAACATACAAGGCTTGCAATTGAACGGAAGAATGAACAAACTGCCTTAAAAAGAAATAAAGGGCGAAAATATGTTATTTTTAGGCCTGGAGATCTAGTTTGGGTGCATTTTAGGAAGGAAAGATTTCCTGCCAAACAAAGATCTAAATTAGATCCAAGAGGAGATGGGCCATTTGAAGTCTTGAAAGGATTGGAGACAATGCTTACAAACTTGACCTTCCTAGTGAATATCAAGTTAGTGCCACCTTCAATGTTTCTGATCTTTCCTTGTTTGATGCAGGCTCGAATTCGAGGACGAATTCTCTTCAAGAAGAGGGGAATGATAGCATCCATGGTAGCTCAACATCATTAAAGGAGAAGGATTAAGCTCTGGAAGCTCCAAGAAGGCCCATGACAAGGTCTCAAACAAAGAAATTTCAAGACAAGCTTAATGGGCTTCAATTGGCAATTAAAAAGTGTCTTATAATAGAAGAAGAGCTCCAGCACAGGGAGGATCTTTGGGACAAGTCTTACAACTATTTGGAGTCCCAAATTTAAAGTCCAGGAGGAGATGGATGACGCCCAAATATGCCCCAAAAAAGAGGGATTTTCAGCAGCTCAAATAATCCCAAAAAATAGTTTCTAGAATATATATTTAATAGTTGTTTTAATCTATGTTGACTCATTGCTCTATGTGTATGTTGACTACATTGGTCTTAGTGTGGGTAGTCTTCTATGCTTTTAGGGAATATAATTCTCATCTATTGAAGTCTTGACTATCTCCTTCTTTACTACTATATAAAAGGGTGCTTGTCTTTCATTGTTGGGAAGACATTGAAGATTAATATTATTATTGTGAGGTCTTTTGAACCTTTGTGAACTTTACTTTGAGATTTATCTTGCAACCCTAACTAGTTCATAGCTTAGGGTAATAAGATAATTTTCTTTCTTGTGATATCTTTGGTTTCTTTTGATATTCTTCGAAGGCAACTAGTTTCTTTTACTAATTGTCGTAAGTTATTCAAACTAGAAGTCAAGATCGGAATCTAGTTCTTGATTAGCTTATCTCTAGTGAAGGCAATTGGTTTCATAACCAATTTTTTGTTATTAGGATCTTGTCAAACTCTAGATTAACATAATCTCGGGGTTCTTGGATCTTTCCTTGAATTTCCATATATCTAGTTTATTTTTCTTAGTTTCTCAATTCCATTGCATTTCTTTGCTGCTTCCGCATTTCTTCAACTTATTTTCTTTAAGTTCTTGGATCTTCCAATATTTGTGTTATCAGAAGTAGGCACGACTTTAGTGGAAAGACCAATGCTTGACGGAACAGTAGAAGCAACTTTGAGAGGATAAAGTGATCTAACATTTTTATTGTGGAGTAGAATCTTGTTGGCCCTCTGGTCCTTAACAATAAAGCCAGAATTAGTTAACTCAATGACGTAACTATTATCTTTACAAATACGTTGGACAAAGATAAAGTTTTTAGCAAGAGAAGGAACATATAAAGTATTTCTCAGTATACGAGGTTTAGAAGGGGTTGAAAGAAAAGAGGAACCAATACAAGCAAATGGAAGGAGATTACTATTACCAACCATAACCCGAGAAGAACTTGTATATGGTGTGGGGGAGGAAAGAATAGAGGGGTCATTAGTCATATGTGCAGATGCTCCGAAATCTGGATACCAAATGGTTGGTTGCATCTCTTCTACATTCATAGCTGCAAAAGTCTTTGGCAAATTATTATGTGCGAAGAACTGATTAAACATGTTTTTGCACTCCAACGCTGTCACGACCCAAAATCCACTAAGGGTCGTGATGGTGCCGGACACCGCTGTCAGGCAAGCCAACCATAAATACTTAATTAAATTCTCATTTAAATAATTGTGAAAACTCTAATTTTCCTTCAATTTTACTAGTAAAAGATACTCATTCCAAATTAAATATAAATGTCAAGAAGTCAATACAAAATACCCCATAATCATCCCAGAACCTGGTGTCACAAGTGCATGAGCATTTACTATGGAATAAAATAAAATACAGTAACTGTCCGGAATATAAAGTGGACAGAAATGCAAATACAGCACAATACTCTGAAGGAGACTCTGCTGGCTGCGGGTCGTCTCGATAAATGTAGCTCACCTAAGTCTCCGTACCAACCATGCCGCTATGCCATTAAGCTAGTAGCGACACATGAACCTGTGCAACAAAAATGCACAGCAAGTGTAGTATGAGTACGAAAAACAATGTGAACGCAGTAAGAATCCCGCCTAATCTCGAAGAAGTAGAGACGAGAGGTCGAATTTGACACTTACTAATGGTCCAATAATGATAAATCAATAATGTAACAAATTGAGGATTTATATAAGCATGATTGTAATTCAAGAAAGTGAA